TTCATCTTGAACTATTCATCTGCGGTATAAGGGTCAGCATGCTGTCAGCATTTTTGGGGGCCCATCTTGCAGACATCTTGCTCATCCCTCAGTTAAAGAAGTATGGATCAAAATTGAACTTATGTCAATGAACTTACCTGTCTGCTGGGCAGTAAGATGTCTGTCATCCAAAAGCATACGTTGCATGGCACTAACCGTTTCTTCAGTTCTTGAGGTTTTTGGGACGACATGGCCAACGATCATCTTCTGTTCTGTCCCCTTCCCTGCTTGAATTCCTCATCCTATTTCTTTAACACAAGAAGGACAGTCCACAGCAAGTGTCTGTAACATGTTCACATGGATTTCCAAGGGTGACACACCTTTCTGTTCCACGCCTTACTTTATAACTTCTCGGATCTGTACTTTGTTCATTTTTAGATTTGTCGAAATTTGAATTAGTTTTTCTAGTTTTATAAGAAATGATGCGTTACCACAATAAAAATATTCAGCTATAGCTCTTCTTTCTGGGTGATGCTTTGAACTTTTTCAACGACCCTAATATGCCAGTGTTATATTTTCTAATTCTTTAAATATTTTCCCTTACTAAACGGGGAGAGAAGTGAAGAGTTGAAATTTCTTGATGCCATTCAACTGTAAAATGATGACTGTTGACCATGTTCAACATAATCTATGAATATAGAATACAGCGCAGTACGTAATCTGTTCAATGAAACAAAGTTAAATTTTAATACTCTCGAGTCAGATATTTTATTGAATCTGACTATATCACCAATACCACCAGCAGCTGTTCAGTAATTCTCCAGTCTTCGATATCAAAGGCTGGCAGTGAATATTCAGGAAAAACATGGCCGCCTTTATACACGTCGCATTGAATATTTTGAGCCTTCTGATTGGTTAACCCTTCTATTAGTGAACTATAAAATGAGTCAGCTCATTTTGGCTGGCTAACTAGTACACCAGGGTACCCAAAAATTCCAACAAAGACAATATTGCTAATTTACTACTGATTTTAAATTCATAAAACCGAGGTGTTATACCTGAAAGTTCATCAGAACAATTACTATGAAAATATTTCGAGAAAAAGCAAATGGAAGCTACATTATGGTGGTGGGAAAAGTGACTGAAGCCGAGATGCCAGGTCAGGACCAGTAAAATTGGGGGAGTGATATTATATTGATGATGTTGCTCAGAATATTATAGCTATATAGTTCATGATGCTGAAAATGAATCGTGCCGGAGAATTGCTATTTACGTAAAGAGTCAAAAAAGTACAAGCGATGATGATGCTGTTAAACGTTATGATCACATGTACTGGAGCCATGGCAGCAGGAGTGTGTCCTGGAAAAGATAGTTTGACGGAGCCCAACCCTATCCAGGCTGGTTTGAATTCAGAGTTTTCCTACTGCCAACCAAGGCTTATAGGACCCAGTCTGCCCCGCTATTTACAACCAAACTTGGAGAACAGATAGATTCATGCCATCTCCAAGAGCATTTGCGCGCAAGTGAATATTACAAACCTAACTGGAATTCGAACTCGGCTCTTCGATTTCTCATTCCGCTATCAATGAGACCACCGCGCATCCAATAAAAGATGAGAGAAAGTAGAAGAGGCACTTCTGTAATATTAATAGAGATAACTATTTAAAATCACTTATAATAATTTTAATTCAAATAACAGAAAGGACAGAAATTAAATGTAGTTTAACAATGAAAGCGTTAGCTTTGTCAATTATTATTATTATTATTGAGAGTGAAAGCAGCATATCAACAAAGTGATGCTAGGGAACAAATATAAGAAGTGAATATATCCATTATGAGACCCAGGCTGATCCCAGGGAGGGAGCAGGCACATGCATCACAGTTAAAAGGTGCCATAACCCTTAATAATAGCCAAATGGTGCCATAACCATGAATCATAGCCAAATGGTGACATAACCCTTAATAATAGCCAAATGGTGACATAACCATGAATCATAGCCAAATGGTAACATATACTTGAATCATAGCCAAATGACACCATAACCCTGAATCATAGCCAAATGGTGACATAACCCTGAATTATAAGCAAATGTTGACATAAACTTGAATCATAGCCAAATGACACCATAATCCTGAATTATAAGCAAATGTTGACATAAACTTGAATCATAGCCAAATGACACCATAATCCTGAATTATAAGCAAATGTTGACATAAACTTGAATCATAGCCAAATGACACCATAATCCTGAATTATAAGCAAATGTTGACATAAACTTGAATCATAGCCAAATGACACCATAATCCTGAATTATAAGCAAATGTTGACATAAACTTGAATCATAGCCAAATGAAACCATAATCCTGAATTATAAGCAAATGTTGACATAAACTTGAATCATAGCCAAATGACACCATAATCCTGAATTATAAGCAAATGTTGACATAAACTTGAATCATAGCCAAATGACACCATAATCCTGAATTATAAGCAAATGTTGACATAAACTTGAATCATAGCCAAATGACACCATAATCCTGAATTATAAGCAAATGTTGACATAAACTTGAATCATAGCCAAATGACACCATAATCCTGAATTATAAGCAAATGTTGACATAAACTTGAATCATAGCCAAATGACACCATAATCCTGAATTATAAGCAAATGTTGACATAAACTTGAATCATAGCCAAATGACACCATAATCCTGAATTATAAGCAAATGTTGACATAAACTTGAATCATAGCCAAATGACACCATAATCCTGAATTATAAGCAAATGTTGACATAAACTTGAATCATAGCCAAATGACACCATAACCCTGAATTATAAGCAAATGTTGACATATGCCTGAATCATAGCCAAATGTTGCCATAACCCTGAATAATAGCCAAATGTTGCCATAACCTTGAATTATAACCAAATGTTGCCATAACCTTGAATTATAACCAAATGTTGCCATAACCGTGAATCATAGCCAAATGGACACATAGCCCTGAGTTATAACCAAATGTTGACAACCCTGAATCATAGTCAAATAGAGACATAACCCTCAATAATAGCCAAATGGTGACATAACCTTGTATCATAGCCAAATGCTAATATATCCTTGAATCATAGCCAAATGACACCATAACCCTAAATTATACCCAAATGGTGACATAACCCTGAATAATAGCCAAATTGTGACACATGACACCCAGTTTGAAAAGCCTTTTTGTTGGTTTAAGCCAATCCACTCAGAGGGTCTCCGATTGAAAGGGTTCCCACATATCTACAAGTAATTCTGAAGTCACCTTTGTTCATTCATCGTTAAAAGTTTAAAAAACCGTAAAAAACAACGATACCAGGCCAAAACTTTCTCTCACTATTCACACGAATCAATAGTGGTGCGCAGAGCATCACCCTCAGGGGATCACCCCTAACTGACAAACAAATTTACTGTGAGTTACCTTAATTCACCAAGACAAAACAATTTAGATGTTAACACCAAGACTCATATAAGAGCGGAAGCAAGGAAAGCCCAACGTACAGATTATTAAAAGAATTGCCCACAGATGTTTAGTGAAAATAGAAGAAGTTCACCAATTTATAGTACCCTTTCGCCAGTCACAATAAATGGATGTCCCCTCGAGGAAGTACCGTACCTTGAGATAATATTGGGCCACAAACTCATACACGATCTCAAGTTGAACTCTTATATACGAGCCATCGTTAAAGATTCAGGTAAAATGATCGGCTTCCTGCTTATCCTCTACCTTTATACACCCTTGGTCAAAATTTTGAGACCAGTTAGAAAAGGGTTAAAAAATATATAAATATCTTTATGGCTAACCAAAAAAAATCCTTTTTTCAATATTTGTTTAAATTAATGAATCAAAAGCTTAAAATCTTCATTTGTTTGTTGATAAATTACATTTTCTAATTAAATGTAAATGTTTCGCAAATATATTTTGATTAAAGTAACAGTATTTTATTTTTTTTAACCCTTTTGTTTCTGGTCTTAAGATTTTGACCAAGGGTGTAGGAGCCAGATAAGGACAACAATAGAATATTGTTGCCATATTTAGATGGGAGCTGCCCAGTTCTCATTTTCCAGAGTTCAAAAGGGCACTGAACCCTATATGGAGAAGAATTATTTTCCAACCTCCAATCTCTCTCTCTCTCTCTCTCTCTCTCTCTCTCTCTCTCTCACACACACACAGACACAGGTGGGATATGGCGAGTCCTTGAGTGCTTTATCACTACTAACGTGGAATGTGCTCAGACGAACTACATTACTTGTTTCCGTCAGGTCTAACCTTCACGAAGAGGACCCCATGCCTCTTACATAGTATCAAATCACCCACATTGCCTCCGTATTCTATTTGGCGGGAAGTAAGTTTCTCGCAGACAGCGAACCACTGCACTGTGGAACATTCTCCCAAGAGGATGTTACCTCGATCGCTACAACAAAAACTTCTTCAAGTCTATAACTAACCGTTATCTTCCGATCGTATCGATATAAC